AACTAAAATACTAAGGGACTTTGGATTATTTACCTAACTAGTTCCTTCCTATTTTCTATATATTTTCACATATATATATATATATATATATATATGTATGTATATATATATGCGTGTGTGTGTATACATACATATATATATATATATATATATATATATATATATATATATATATGCGTGTGTGTGTGTGCGTCTGTGTGTGTTTCTTTGAATAAGACTGACAAGATCTTTTAGTTTAGGTTTCTCTTATATATTCCTTTTGTCCGTAGATTATTATTTCCTTGTGTCAAGTAGATTAGTAGATTATTTTCCCGACTTAATGAATGTAAAAATTATCTAAAATATTTCTGATGCTGAGCGCTTTCTATAAAACGATTAGCCATTTTCAAGGATGTTTTTTTTACGTTACTATAATAAATGATGTTTGACAGAATACATTTGGTGAAAACTAGATATATTTCTTAAATTACAAATATCAGCAACCATTATATCATCAAAAATAGCACTCACGCAACATTTGTTATAACAAAGTGAGTGCATAACAAGTAATAACATAATAAAACAAAAAAGATCCTTGAAAAATGGCTAACCGTTTGACTGAAGCCGCTTGAAGAATTTATTGGATAATATATTTTTTTTTTTACAAAGAAAAGAATTACCTAGTATCAGACTTCCTATATGATAGTAAATACCGGACAATCTTCTCGCAGATGAAGGTGAGAGTTGAAGCAACAGAAATATGGTTCTAAAGAAGAATGTTGATATTACCATAGACTGATCATGTGTGCAATGGCAGGGTTTTAAAAACAATAGGAGTGAAAAAAAGATTTATATATAACATCACTAAGAGATAGTTGAAATTTCAAGTGCATATAATGAGGAAAGAGTGATTGGAAAATTTGACACTAAGCTGAAGCCCCGTCGCTCGTTCGGCCGATGGTGCGTCGTCGGCTGCGTCTGACCCGGCGACTCGCGCACTGCTCTGCTCATCACAGAGTCATTATGAAAGCAGAGTATTAAGGAATACGATATGAAATTTATCGAAATGTATTAATAGTTCTGCAATAATTAAGATGAAATTAGATAAAACAAATTTCAAATTGGAAATACCAAAATCAGGTACAACAATTAAAATATTAAGAAAGTGTTTTAACAGAGGACGGAAAATGGAACACTGAAATCTGAAACTGGATTGGCATAGCAAAAGATGCCTTGCAAAATCTAAGCAAAGTAATAAGAAATAAAAAAAACAATTTTAGACACAAAGAAAAATTACTGATGTGTTACTTAATATCAATCTACCTATACAACAGAGAACGCTAGACAACAGCAACAGAAACGTGGTTCTGCAGAAGGATTTTGAGGATACCACAAACCCAACATGTAAGCAACGACATTTTTAAAAATGCAAACAAAAAGGACACTTGTAATTAACATCAAAAAGAGACAGCTGAAATTTATAGAACACGTAATGAGGAAAGTGGGTTTGAATAATTTGACACTCGCAAGATAGATCGAGAGACACATAGAGGAAAACAACCTATAATCTTCCTAGCTTAGTTGAGTAGGGTTTAGGAGAGATAACACAAAGAGAAAATTTATTAAGAGCTACAAAGGACAGGAAATTATGGAGAGCCATGATCGCTAGCGTTCTGAAGGGACATGACAAATAAAAGAAGTCCCCCCCTCAAAAAAAAAAAAGAAAACACTTGTACGCAAACAAGAAAAATACATAAGAAAAATCAAACATAAGCAACTTGTCAGACGTCTTCAACAAAACATATATTAAAGAGAGGTTGTTGTCGACAGAAATGTGTAAACGCGTAGTGATCCACAAACCTGTTCATGTGCGATAGATGTAATCATAGTAAATTAATGAAATGAGGAAAACAAATTATTAATAAACATCAATTACATGTCCATACAGAGGACAGAAGAAGGAAATGGTGTGATAGAATTAAATATTTTCATAGTCCTGAAAAGGTCCATGAGCCTACCTTATTTTGTGCCTGTAGACGTAACACGTAGAACGAAGCAGACTTATATTCCGTCCTCAAATTCTCCTCCCTACTGTACAATTCAACGGGGAAAAACCTCGAAATCAAACTTTTACACACGCACACGCGCAGACACACAAACAAATATGTATACACAAATATATATATATATATATATATATATATATATATATATATATATATAATATAAACATATATATATATATATATATATATATATATATATATATATATATATATATATATATATATAGGCGGAGCCGTTTCACTTATGTGTACGTGTTTGTGAGGTATAGATTTATCTGTATTACTTCCATTATAGGCCTTTATATGGACATCTTTTGTGTGCCCACCCCGCGTTTATTCATACATACACGTGCGCACACACACATAAACACATATACGCACGCAAACGCATACAAACGTGCGAAAATATATATATATATATATATATATATATATATATATATATATATATATGATGTGTGCTGAAAAATTATCGACTACTTTTCCAAATATGACCATATGACCAAACTTCCAATTTAGGATCCATTCTTGATTGGAACGATCAGGATCAATTTTCACCACCCTTTCCCATATATATATATATATATATATATATATATATATATATACATACATACTGTCTTAACACACACACTCATATATATATATATATATATATATATATATATATATATATATATATATATATATATGAAAAGCCAAGTGAAAACAACTGCCTCTTAACACAGAACAAAGCATACACAAGAACTATTTAAAAAAACGGAGAAGGTAAACTGTTCTACATTAAGGCAATTTCTATTGTGTAGATCAGCTTTTAACACCCCTAATTGGTCTCGTAGGTGAATAAGAATATTTTCAGAGCTGGCCCCCTTTACAAGCTTTTCAATGAAGCCAACGCTTTTTGTTATAGTTGTTACAATACTAAAGAATCCTTCAACAGCAAATTTACCAAAACCGATCGTTCGCTCAACAAAAGTAAGTTAGAAGACCGTTTGTGACAGGCATTGTTCGGCATTCGCCAAATGAGATTCGTCTGTTGTTCGACGAGTGGCCGTGTAAGGTCGTTTCGGGTGTGGGGTAGAGAAGTGTAAGAAGCGTTTCCCTGAAGGGCTTTAGTCTAGAATGAAAGAAAAAGACACAGTGGTAAAGTGATGTATTTGGGAAGGGGCAAAGAATTGTAGGTATAATAAAAATGATCAAGAGAAAGAAAGCGTCAGTGTTCAGAGGTGGAAAATACGAAAGAGTCGAGGTGAATATTAGAAGAAAATGGAGTATATTCCTGTCACAGACGGAAAGGCTAAAACTTGAAATTATGTCCGAAAAGAGAGACTAATGCAGAAAAAATATCAGATAGGATGAAAACAGAAAAAGAGAAGATGATTTGACAGAGCGGAAAATGTTTTGGGAGAGAGAGGGAGATAAAGAGAGTGGGAGAGGGAGATAGAGAGAGTGGGAGAGAGGGAGAGAGATAAAGAAAGAGAGGGGGAGATGGAAGGAGATAGAGAGATAGGTTCTAGAGGGAGAGAGATAGAGAGGGGTAGAGAGAGAGGGTGAGAGAGATAGAAAGAAAGGGGAGAGGGAAGGAGATAGAGAGATAGGTGGATAGGGAGAGATATAGAGAGAGTGGAAGAGAGAGTGAGAGCGGGAGAGAGATAGAAAGATCGGGAGAGGGAAGGAGATAGAGTGATATGTGGAGAGGGACAGAAATAGAGAGAAAGTTGGAGAGTGAGAGAGAGTGAGGGAGAGATAGAAAGAGAGGGGAGAGGGAAGGAGATAGAGAGATAGGTGGATGGAGAGAGAGTGGGTGAGAGAGTGAGAGACGGAGAGAGAGAAAGAGAGAGGGGAGAGAGAAAGGAGAGATAGGTGGCGGGGAGAGAGATAGAGAGAGTGGGAGAGATTGAGAATGGGAGAGAGATAGAAAAAGAGGGAAGATTGAAGGAGATAGAGTGATAGGTAGAGTGGAAGAGATAGAGATTGAGAGAGAGTGAGGGAGTGATTGAAAGGGAGGGGAGAGTGAAGGAGATAGAGAGATAGGTGGAGAGGTAAAAAGATAGAGAGAGAGAGTGGGAGTGAGGGAGAGTGGGAGAGATAGAAAGGGAGAGGGTTGAGGGAAGGAGATAGAAAGAGAGAGAGGGGAGAAGTAAGGAGATAGAGAGATAGGTAGCGAGGGAGAGAGATAGAGATAGAGAGTGTGGGAGAGAGTGAGTGAAATAAATGTTTGAAAGTAATGAGACTGATATTAAGTCAGAATAAAAAGAAAATGGAGAAGTAAAATCGGTGCACGTAGATAAGAAACGAAAATGGCAACAAAAAAGAAGGGAATAATTAAAGAAAGAAAGAAAAGGTTAAATGGCAGAATAAAAAGAGAGAAAGAAAAGGCTAAGTAGTAAAATAAAAAGAGAGAAATGGAGGATTTAGGAAAAGGATAAAAAAGAAAAGGAAGGTTAAGGAGCAGAATAAAAGGGGAAAATTAAATGTTAAGAAGCAGACTTAAAAGAGAGACAGAAAAGGTTAAAAGCAGAATAAAAAAGAGAGAGAAAGAAAAGGTTAAAAGCAGAATAAAAAAGAGAGAAAGAAAAGGTTAAATAGAAGAAAAAATAGAGAAAGAAAAGGTTAAGGAATAGAATAAAAAAGAGATAAATGGAAGGCTAAATAGCAGAATAAAAAGAGAGAAAGAAAAGGTTAGGGAGTAGAATGAAAATAGAGATAGATTGAAAAGATTAAGGAATAGAAAAAGTAAGAGAAGCGAAAAATAATAGAAACAAGAAACAATCATAGAAAAGTAAAAAAGAAACAACAAAAAAACAAAAACAATTTTAAACACAGAAAATGACAATACGCGATGCGCAGATAGGAAAACTTGAATAAGAAAAAGAAAGAAAAAGAATAAATAAATTGGAAAAGCAATCTGTTCTGGCGCCAGACAAACGGACCAATGGCGTCGCCAAATGACATTGGATTTTACCAGGTGCAATTTGAACAAAAACTGTGTGCCATTGGATAGAATGCCTTCCAACTTATTTAATATTCTCCTTGGGCTTTACGCCGTCAATTAGTGGTTAGCAACATGGTAATACCAGGGTTACGTTAATAAGTTTAATCCTCACCGGATCTAATACACTTGTGGTGTTTGTCGGCTTTACTCTTTTAAACACCTTGATATATATTTTAAAAAATGCTGCTAAATGAAACAAAATATAAGGTCTTAATTTTCCAAACATTAATCTGCCGCATATATATATATATATATATATATATATATATATATCTTAACTCGCATCGAAATATCGCATTAAGTCATGGTTTTAATCGTAAAAAATCTTGTAACACAGCCTCATACTTTTCATAACTCAAGGGTTTTTATGTTTAAAGATTTCCTGTTTTTTATGTGAATGCGTCCTTCCGGAGGAGGCACCGTGGAGTAATGGATAGCAGCTCGGATTGAGGAATCGGAGAGCCGAGTTCGAATTCCAGTCATATCCATTACTTTCACTTACGTGCTAAGATACTTGAGAAATGTATGAATCATTTTCTTCTCTCTCCGCCCATCTATGGGTAAATAACAGACTAGGTCCTATAGCCCTGGATGGCAACTGGTCTACCGCAGAAAGAAATATCAACCTACTGCAGGAAAAAAATCTGCCTCGTCAGTCATGATTGCTTAAGCGTGTATCACGCATGGCACATAACTGACTGTCTCTTCAGGACGTAGGTAATCATGGCCGTTCACATTTTCATGCTCCTTGTTGTTCTTAACAGGTTTTGTCTTTTTATTATTTCCACAAACTCTGTTCTACCACCTATTTGCTTAAGCTCATCAAGCATGTCACACGTTGCTTTCCTCTGTCCCTCTTCCCCTCAATCTGTCCTGTGCGTACCAGATTTTCTAAGCCCCCTTTCCTCATTATGTGCTTCAGAAATTTCACCGGCCTCTTTATGATATGTATAAGTTTCCTTTTTGTTTCTATTTTTCTTCAAAACCTCGTTGTTGCTCACATGTTTGGTCCATGGTATCCTCAGTATCTTTCTGAAGCAACACATTTTTATTGTCCAGCATTCGCTGCTATACAGGAGGACGGATATCCCGTAACAGTTCAGTATTCTTTTATCTGTTTCTAACGTAATCATTTTTTTACTCCTCTTAGCATTTAGAATGCATCTTTGGCCATCACAATATGTCTTCGGATCTGTGTTGCCCTTTCCGTCTTCTGTTAGAACACTTTCCAAATATTTAAATTTCTACAGTTGTTTGATTTTAGTATCACCGATCATCTTAAACAGCAAGTTCTCTTTGACAAAAAGAATGATCTACGTTGCGCTGTTCATTTTCAAGTAATACAGTTTCTATAACTCTCACTGAATTCCCCACTGAATCTGTGGCAAATGGATTGAATTTTCAATACTAAAACCATTAATCTACTTTCAAATAAAATATTTAGATTATTTTTGTCTTGAGAATTCGTATCGATAGATCAATTTTTAATATTTATTTAAGCTGCGTTTGACGACGCAAAAGAGTAATACTCGATATTTACATATTTTAAAACCTTGCTTTTATAGACATTTTAAAACATTGTTGCTATACTCATAATTAAACTTATTTAGTATTGTTGTATTTTTCTTATATAGATTGAATTTAAGATTACTCCTGTATACTCATGGCGGTGAGGTCGAGGACTAGGGATCAGTCAGAATGCAACCAACCTCTAAGACACCAACGGCGGACAAGGCAAAAATCTACATGATCTCAAAAACCAAACCAGCGGATGAGGGCATCGCCAGTCGGGCTGGCGTAATCAAGGAGGATCTTGACAGAAAATAATTGACAGGCAACCTTATTATGGCGGTGGAAAAGTGACTGATGCTGAGCCGCCAGATCAGGACCAATAATATTGCTGATTCTTCTTGGGATGTTATCAAGGAGCTCAAGGTAAATAGCAGGGACACTGGACCATATGTGGCAGATTTATTCTAAGCATGGACGAATAGTAGACTTATAGATATGTAAGATAAATTCAGGAGAGAATACTTGTCTCGGCCGACACAGAGAACCGACTGTCTTAGCAACTGACCTAGTAATGGATTCAATATAGTCTGTCCACTTCATGTCAGCTTGGAATGTTAGACCGAGAATGTGCAACGAGACACTTTCATGGAAGCTGATTGAAGGCTCCCAGGGGTCTCTCAGATGATTAATGGAGAAAAGTTTAGTCTTGGAAGCATTAAAATTTTAGTTAAAGACGGACTTGTGGTCGTTTTGGACTTCGGGTGATTTGTATGTATGCATGTATGTATGTATATATATATATATATATATATATATATATATATATATATATATATATATATATATATATATATATATATATATATATATATATATATATATATATATATATATATATATATAAATTCAAGATAAATATATACACACACACACACATATATATATATATAAAATTCAAGATAATTACACACACACACACACACACACACACATATATATATATATATTATTATTATTATTTTTTTATTATATAATTTAGGAAAATAAAAATTTCACATTACAATGTTCCAAAATTTACAAGTCTTTACAGAAATGAAGAAAATTCGAATTTATCCAACAAAACGTATTTGGCCAAAAGAAAGATATGTTTGTGGGATAACTTTTCATTCAGCACATTTTTTAATGTTTTTCGTGTGAATGTATTTATTCATTGATTAAAGCATATCTTCTTACCGGCAAACAGATTAAAACAGATTCCTTCATCTTTTTCCTTATATCTAAATTATAATTTTAAAATATAATTTTGTAAATCTGAAAATTTTCGGAATATTTCCAAGTTTTCATTTGAAATGTAGAAATTTCGAACAATATATGGAAAAAACGACGTCAGTTTAATATGACACCATGGCGATATGTATTTCGTTTAATTACTCTATAATGTCTTTCTTTTCAATCTTATATTTTCTTTGCCATATTTATGAGACCTGGTTACCGCTTATTATTACTCCGAATCTTTTTTATAAATATTCTGTTTCCATCATATTTTATGTACTCCATTCTACATATTTTCTTCATATTAGTTTAAGCAAAATACTACTATTAATAATAATAATAACTTCACGAACTGATTTTAGATTAAATGTTATAGAAGGATATTAACAAAGCTTTAACGACACCACAGTATCATCGTCAAAGGACGAATAAGAAAACAGAAAGAAAATTAAATTGCATAGAAATGTTTGACTGTCTTTTTTATTAGCATTTAAAGAGGGGAAATGGCAATAGAAGAAAAAATAAACAAGACAAAAACGACAACACAATGCACAGATTTCTGTGTGTTCGCACTAAACAACAATCATTAAAATTATTTTTTAAATGGTTCTCATACTGCGTTACCAGGAAATAGAAACAAGAGATGGTAGCACAGAAATATATTGGCAAGGAATAAATATGTTATAAAAAAAATGAACGATTTTTAAACTCTTTTTCTCTTCGTCTCTTTGCATTTTTAAAAAAAAACTAACTCGTGTTCTGCTGTTGTGTGTCGATCACGACATAAGAAAAGCCAGTAGGTTGAAAAAGTGAAGAAAAGTTAGGTGCATATATTAAAATGAAAGAGAAAGAGAAAGATTGGCTTGATATTTTCATGCAATCTACAGGAAGATGTTTGCAATCTGGACAACATGGCGCTGACAGATAAATAGTTTCATGTCGATAGCAATAACAACAACAGCAAAAGTAATTATAATAATAATAAAATTAATAATTATGGCGATGATGATGAAATAGAAGATGTAGAAAGATATATCACGGGAATAACACCTTATGCAGTACTGCAACTGTTAGGCCCTCCCGTTTTACTGAAATAATAATAATCTTATGACAATACTGTTTGGCTCTCCTTTCCTTCCATAGTTAGCACATGCGTTACTCCCTGTCAACCCCTTGACAATAATGGGCAATACTGTTTTTGATCGCGTTGAATGACATATCAGAGAGGCTAATTTGTTTCAGTGAGAAAATAATACAAAGAAATATTACCGTTTATTATTACTAAAGGGTGTTCCAATGACTTTGATCGATTTTAAATGGGAATTAAGTTTAAGCATCAAATGATTTTTTTTTCGTTTCCTTTCAGATTTAACAACTTCAGTCTTCGGCAATTTCAACCTGGGAAAGATTAATAATCAAACAACGTGTTCAAGTTTCAAGTGTGCAACTGGAAAAAAATGTTCGTAAATTCAAAGAAACTGGGTTTGTGGCAGGTGTAAAAACAGCATTGCGTGCTCGTTTATGCTGTTCAGCTGCAGGGCACGAGAATGTGACCAAAAATGTAGACACCTCTATTCGTCATCGCGCGCAGGAATTGAATCTCTGCTCAACAACGTTACATCGTTTCCAAAATCTTTTTATTTGTACCTCTTAATTCTTTAGCTGTCGACTAGCATTCATATTTATGATTGTTGTTTCAATATATTGTTGAAGTCGCTAACCTCAAATATTTAATGAAATGATAGGGACATTTCTACTGATATGCTATTGTCATAGAACTTGCCATGAGCTTATTCAATCATTATCTTAAGAATGTAGATTCACCAGAAAAGCCCCCTCCTCGCACCTCCAGTTCCGCATTCTATTCACACAAGCTCATCAGATAGGTAGCCCACTTACTTCATCCTATGTCTCTTGCCTTAGATATACTCTGTGAGAAATGTTTTCCAAAACACACATCCTTATATTAGTAATTTCAGATGTCTCTTTCTGATTCTAAGTATTCTTTTGTTACTATTTTCACGTTGCTTCGGAATTCTTCTATATAATTGTCAAAATCCTTCTGCACGAGGCTCGACTGAAAAGTTCATAGGCTGACCACGATAGAAATCTAAGTATACACACAAACTAATATGTCTTTTATATATATATTGCTCAGCCTATGAACTTTTCTGTC